AGTCTCTGGGAATGTAACCCCTTTATACTTATCGAAGTCAGGTACCTTAAACTTTGGCGGAATCACAACCCCCGAAACCAAACACATAGCAACGACACTGAATCCTGGTTTCTTAGAAGTCTCCATAACCTTTAAGCGTTCTTCCAGAGCCTTGTACATCTTAGCAGTTTCAGACAAATCAACCATAGAATCCTTCGGAGGGTCATCGAGATCGATGACATCGTGGTGGTCATCCATAATCAATCGCGGGTTCTCCTTAGGAATCCCCCCCATGGTCATTCTTGGGTCCACAATTCTCGGATATGGAGGCTCCATCTACCAGTTTAGTAACGCTTATTCTGAGCTCTTCCTGCCCTTGGATGACGACATGAAGAGTTTCCATGAGCTGATTCATTCGATCACCTATAGTGCCAATGTCTTTGCGGAGAGTGGCCTGGTTCTGCTCAATCTGTTCCATAATCCTCAACTTGTTGGCTCAGGTGTGATAAGGATGTATGAAAGTCGTTTTGTAGATTCTATAATAAAAGGCAAAATCTTCAGATAAGAATTCCTGCCAAAAAACCTGCAATTCGTGAAATGCATGATATGTATGATGTATGAAATGATTGTCCATTCCGTTTTTCCATGGTTCAATTACCATCAACAGTAATCGAACAACATGATGATAAGAACGACCATATGAAGAAAACATCCAAAAATAAGAGAAATTCCCACATAATTGAATATGAGAAGGTTATGGGAGTATAACATCAGCAACTCTGTCTAACAAACTTATCAGTAACAATAATGATCAGTTCAGAGGTAGTTTACCATTCTTCTCCTATTTCCATCTCACATTGCCAAGGCCCAAATAAAGTGCCTTAACGATAGTTTCAAAATCATGCCCGTCTGGACTAGCAACAAGTAGGTGCTCAGCAAAAGGGATCGTTCTTCCGGAATTGGAACAATTTGATAGTCCTGGAAGGTGTAACTCATAGTTGTAAAACTGAAGTAGGTCCAAAATACCTCCATGTCTTCCGATAAGAACTCTGCATTGGGACTGAATGAAACGGTCTTTTAGACTCTTCAAAGAAGGTCGAGAACTTGAGCAGTACTGATAAGTATAATTGTCTCCCTTGGTCCTCTTGAGAACATCACTGTTGCCAACGTAACTGACGGAAATTATTCTAGGGAGGTATCCCGAAATGGACATGCACATGCAAGGTTAGTACATTTCATCTTTCTGACATTTCTTTCTGAAAAATAAACATGCTATGATGTAAATGCAAGTGATCATGGGGTTACTACTTCCATGATATCAATTTCTGCTGTACTGCCTCTGCGTAGTATGTAAGTACTAAGATCATAGGTCCAGAACATAAACCACATAATCTTATGAACAAATTTAGGACTCAAAATAAATCTGAGAACCTCCTAGTCACCGACAGAAATTCAGAGCATATCCATTAGAACCGATAATCACCGTCTGGGTATAGTCACTATCTGAACATGAGTAACCATCTGCACATAGTCACCATATGTACAGGTAATAATGATCCCATCCCCACTCACGGGTGAAGACTAGGTCAGGGTAAGACAACGGTAACTCGAAAATCACGGGCTCGCTTGAAAGTAAAATCATCGCAACACTGAGGTGAATGATGAAAGTACCTCCAATTGAACCCCATCCGAGCGTGGTATATAACATGACTGCACTAGTCGGACCACGTCCTATAGCCGTCATGCCCCCACTCTATTCCTAGTGTCCTAGTGTACTCTGGCCTGGGTGCTGGGCCTTTTACCTCAATGGTAACATCCCAACCCAATCAAGAAGCAAATCCAGTACAACAGCAGTATATGGAAGACAGTAAAACGCAATGCATACATATGCTCAAGTATATACAAAATGAGTGACTAAACTGAAAGCATAAAGCTAAACACCCAAAGAAAAGAAAGCAAGAGCTAGGAGCGACTCCGAGATGGACCAGCATTTGGTCGACATATCCCCAGTGAAGTCGCCAGCTGAAACAACCGGCTGAAAATCATCAAACAATAAAGTCGCCATCGAACGTCTTTTATCCCACATGTAGGGAAAGGTAAACATTGAGAAAACCTGAGAAGGGAGAAGTCACGGTCTTACGACCAAGAGATCGGGTAAGGGAGTCTGTTACGCGAGGGGAAGGTATTAGCACCCCACACGCCCGTAGTACTCTACGGTATCCACTCTTGTTATCTATCTTATGGGTGTGTTTAATTTATGCTTACTGTTTACTACTGCTAAAGGGAATGCATGCAAAATAACCGAGAAAAAAATATAGGGAAAATAAAATTGTGCTCGTTCGGGCCCTACCCCGATGCCTACGTATCCCTTTTGAGGAATCAGAGCTACCGTAGTTCGGCTAACATATTTTGGTTTGTTTTGTGTTTTTTATGGACGAAGTTAATCCCGCCTTCTGCCGCAGCTCGACCTTTGAAGACTTATGCGTTGACACAGAAGTAAACTAATCATGTCCTTACCTGAAAAAGGTTTTAGAGAAAGGTGCTTGAGCGTACAAAAATATTTGGATTGGTTTGTATTTTTGTTGCAGATAATGACTAGTTGACCTCAAGAGAGAGATATTAGCCACTTTTCTACTTAGCCATGAAAGGAGTCTTTGAGAATTGAACCACACCTAGGCTTGAGATGAAGAACAATAAGATCGAGAAGAGACCCGCTTATCATTCCCCATACTAAGCAAAGGCATGATTCTCATCAGTAGATTTAAAGTATTTTGAAGTTTGAAAAGGAAAAAGAAGTTTTTGTTTTAAATGCATATGCAAAAAGGGAAAGAAAAGTTAAAGGGAGACTAGCCTATTTCTACACCTAATGTTATTATGAAATGGTGGTCCTAAGATTTGGATGAAAGGGGGAATTTCTACCTAATGTTAGCATGCTTGGGTTTAGAATCCTAATGTCCAATTTTAGTTCAATTAAATCGAAGGTTAAATTTGAACCAAAATATCCTAAGGGGTCATGAAAGACTATACAAACAAGTAAATTTGGTAGCAAGTATTAAAGTATTACACACGATCCATACTAAAAAATCTCAAACAAAATACATGATATAAAATGAATAAAACTAATGATTAAAATTGACTAAAAAGTTATCAAAATAAGAAATATATCCCTAATTAATTTCTAAAATGCCTTCTAATATTTTTACCATTTTTTATTATGTATTTTTATTATTAAAAAAATGAAAGAAAGCATTAAAAATTATAAAAGGAAACTAAGAGAATCATGGGGGTGAGAATTGAAATCCAGGGGTGTACAGAAACAGGGCGCTAGGCCCATAGGAGATAGCCCAATAAGACATTTTTGTAACGTCAATTAGGCTTCAAAAAAATGGTGTACATTGGGCATTAAAGGGAGGTATGAATTGATTCATAATGTATGACAAAGTAAAATGGCGTCAGGCCCAGTAGTTAAGGTTCAACAATCAGTTTTTTTTCATAAGACAACTGGCTTCCGAAAACATGGTGATGACGGGTCTGAGTGGGGGTGTGCACAACGAAATAGATTAAGGCCAACCGAAGTTCCCTTCATATTCTCACTAGTCACACTATTTTACTTCCCTTCGTATCTAACAGAGGGCTTAAGAACCCTAGGTCGTTGAGAATGGAATTAGATGCTAGCGGCGAGGCTTCTAAGGGTGATCTCTTGGGGATTCTACTTTATCCTCTTCAAATTATGCAGAGATATGAAAGAGCGAAGAAAATATGAAGATGAGGCATGAATCATGATTTACATACCAGGGCGAGTCTAACGCTCCTTTAGATCGATGGAGATGGTGTGAAACCCAAAGGATAACATTCAAATGTGAAGGTCTGTTTGTTACACTCGACTCTCTATTTTCCGATTCCTTTCACCTCTTCTTCTATCTTTCTTGTTTTTTTTATTTACTTCAGTATTTTTCTTCCCCGCTCTTCTTTGATTCTCCGTGAATTTCTCGGTATATCGTTATTCGTATGTTCTTGTGGTTGAGTGTTTTGTGAGATCATTGAGAGTGAGAGTTGAAGATTGTAGTCATGGGATTTGAGAAGATGAAGAGAGATTGAAAGGATTGCAGTTGCAGTGATGGTGGTGGTGGCGGTTATGGAAGGAAGAAGATGAATATAAAGGGAGGTTTTGAGATTGTAAAGACCGAATGGTAAAGGTGAGGGTTGAGATTGATGGATGTTGAAGTGTTGTGGTTGCTGAGAGTGTACAGAGAGAGTTTGAGATGATGAATTCGGAGAGAGAATTAGAGAGAATCTGGAAAACTGGTGTGTGTGATATTGACGAAAAGAAAATGAAAATGGTGGTTAGGGTCTGAATGATGTAGGAAGATTATGCAGAGTGGAGAATATGGAATGTTAGTTGGTCATGATGAATGAAAAAGGTGCAGTTATATAGATTGATTAGGTAAGCTTTGAGCCGCTGGATCTTAGAATTCGATTATGAGATAGAGGGTTGGATTGGAGTTTGGGAAATTCACTTAGAACTAATTTGAATTATGTTTGATAATTAGTTAGGGAATTTCTATTAGAAGTTTTTGCTGGTTCTGTTATGAGGGTGGTTAGAAATTGGCTTAGAAAACGGTTAGGGCTTAGGCTGTTAGTTGGAGGTTGTGATGCAGTTAGGAGGTTAGAAGTTAGTTGGAGGAATCTGTTAGGAAGTTTATGTTATTTTTTTGTTTGGAATTTACATGAGTTAGGAGATGTTAGGGAGTTGGTATGAAAAGGAAGTTAGAAACAGTTGAAGGATGAGAATTAGTTACAGTCTTGGAAATTAAGAGGTTAGCTACTGTTGGGAAAATTAACTGGGGATTTCTATTTATAGGTTGTTTAGAAATTCTGTTAGGTGTTTATAGGTTAGTTGAAAACTGTTTCTGGTTTTTGGATTTTGTTAGGCTGTTAGAAGGTTAGAGACTGTTTCTTTTTTGGTTGTTAGTTTTGGGTGATGTTGCATTCTGACTAGTAGGCCATCGTGACCAATGAAGTTAAACTAAGCCTGATGAGAGTACAGAACAGACACAGAAAAAATTGGGCCATCTAGTTGAAGTTTGAGATTGTTGTGAAATAAACTTCTGAAACATTGACTTTGAATTGGCAGAAGCACTTGATTTGGATGGAAGCCTCCCATACGGAGACATCGCTGGTAGCCACTTTGTAGCAACTGAAATTTCTTGCCACCACTCATGCTCACACAGCCAACAACTAGTGTCAAGTACAAAATTAGCTGGCCCTTGAGATGGCTGAGTCCAAATAGTTACCCTTCCATGGATCTTTGCTATCAATAATGCACAGGGACAACAGGAAGGGGACCATTCAATAAACTGGATAGGATCACGAGGAGAATCTGCTATGACATTGAATACCGAACATTCAGTTGGCCTCTCTGGGATAATAATATGCACAGGGATCCAAAAATGCTGGACTTAGAATTGAGCTTGGATCACTGATACATGCTTCAGAAGCACAAGCTATATCATTCAATTTTCCACACCAAGCAACAACACTGAAATTGCGACAAACTTGGGGGTAATTCATCCTGTGAAGTGAATATACGGCTGGTTGTTCAAGGCGGATTTGAAAAATGGTGCCGGGAGTTGGTGAGAATGAGTCTTGTTCATTTTCTTCTTCTATATTAATCTCTATTGGATCCTTTTCTTCTTCTTGTTATTGCTTGGGATCACTCAGTGTCACCGTTACCTCTGCTTCGGTTTTCTTCTCCTCCAAATTCTTTGAATTTGGACTTGAATTCGAATTGGAATTCAAAACCTTTTCTTTTTCATGATTCTTTTTTTCCTCGCCAATTTGAGCCATGTCTCTGATTAGTTTATTTAATACATTTGCAGGTTTGGTTTATATCATAGTAGCTTGGACACAGTAGCTCGGAACATGAGGCATAATTGGGGCACGGAGTCATGGAAGATTATAAATGAAGCAAGGCTTGAGGATTAGGACAATCCTTTTTGAGTAACTTTCTATGTATGTAATGTAGTGTAGTGTAATGGGAATTGTAATGTATAATGGCAATTGAATATGGCTTGAGCATAATTGTAATGATTCTGACTTTTCCAATTGGATTCAAATATGTATCTTCCCTCCATTGCTTCAAATTTAGATTTCTAAAATATTATTCAATCGCGATATTTGAATAAGCACAAATGAGATAAAGAACCAATGAATGGATTAAGAAGCACTTTTGGTGAATATCTCCAGCATTTGAGAATGACCCCCTGCAACATAACATTTCACCTTGACTTATTGCATGAAGTTCCAACATGAATAGCTTGTGATCTAAGTAATAAAATGATCCCTGAATTAGTGATGATAAACTCAATTGAACGAAACTTCCAATGATGATAAGAACCAAGTGAGACCTTAATACGTTGAACTAAACCCTATGATAATTATGGCTAGACAAAATCTACTTCACTTGATAACATAATCGTACTGAAAAGAACCCCAATCCAAGTGGTGATTGCAACACATACACTGCTTCTCAAACTCTGGCCCTTATGAATTTCCATACATAATGTAGAGTCTCCTGAATGAAATCCAATTGAATGACTTGTACTAAAAGCAACAAATAACAACAACATCTTTATCACCATATGATCTCATAACAACATCTTTGTGTCATAACTCAAAACTTTTGCACCTCAATCTTTAAAGATATCTCGACTTGCAGAACCCACAATATAACTGGCTTAAAGAACTCTTAGATATGGATAGTGTGATACGGTGGGAGAACTGACTTGAGGTTTTGCGTTTCTGTTTGCAAATGTTTCGGTTTAGCAAGAGTCGCCACCGACTTTTTATTTTATCCAAAGGAAAGGTCAAAAAGCACAGGAAAGACTTTGAGATGTTTTCTTGGGTTCGGGGGGTAGATTATGAAAAGGGAAGGGGCTAGCACCCTTTTCATCCATGGTTATCCATGGGCTCTTAGTTACTTGTTTAGATCACTTGCTTTTGCTTTTCAATTGTTTGAAATGGTGCTTTGTGTGTGGTTTTGAAAATATTTTGAAAAGAGGCCATCATTGTGGCAACCTTTGTAATGATTCTTGTTTGAATATATACAAAGGTGTTTGTCTTTTGAAAAGATATTTCAATGTTTGAAAGTTTGTTTTTGGGAAATGTTTTGAAATTGTGTTGTGAGGTGTGTTTGAAAATAGCAAGGATGTTTTTGCAAGTTTTGATCAAGTAACTAAGAGTTGTCTACCCTAATCCACTCAAAGATCTTTCCTACAAATTTTTAACCCTTTTGACAGTGTTGTTTTACCATTGAATTTGGTAAACAACCTTGTGTTTGGATGTTAAACGGGACAGGCGCGGGTCATCGTATTGACCATGATAGAAATTGTGCTAAGTATCTTTAGCAAATTTTTGAGGGACTAGATCATTTTGTATAGGCAACCAAGATAGCGTCATCGAGGGACTATGATCTTTTTGTTTTGCCAAGATACTCAACATGCATAACATGGCCATTTTAAAGGCAACAAGTGGATGAAACCCTAGGGGTGCATGTGTGCACTGTGTTGTCAATTTGCATGCTTTTATGTCTTGTATTAGGTCTAACTATTTGTTTTAATTTTCGATATTGCATACAAACCCTAATCTCTAACATGGCATATTTGAAAGCTATAAATGCGTAAAATAAATCTACGATTATTACAACATTGATATGGGGAGGGGGATACAATTTTGAATGGGGAGTATTTGCAAGAAAATAAAACCCTAAGATTTACTATTACATCCAAATTGAATAAATTGTGCAAATAAATAAATAAGCAATATTTAAATAAGCAAATTAAGTATAAATATGAAAAATATTATAAGTATGCAAAAAATGTTTTTGTTTATTTTTATGTATGTAAAAATATAATATTTAATGTATATTAAAAAAATAGAAATAAAAGTTTATTTTTATTAAGTGTAAAAACCCCTAATTTTCTTTAAGAAAGTATATATATTATATATTATTTATGTACAATAAAATAAAATAATAAAATATATACAAATGTCAAAAATAAAAATAAATCATAAAAAAGTATTATTTAAGTATATAAATAATAAAAATAAAGGTATAATATTTTTATGTATTATTTTCAAGTTTTTATTAAATAAAATAAAAGCATGTTATTTAACAATTATTTTTATATTAGAAAAAATAATAAAAAATACAAAATAAATTGTTAAAATTTATGAAAATGTTTTTAGTAAGTTTTTATGTTTAGAAAAAATAAAACAAAATCAGAAATGAAAAATAAATAGAAAAATATAAAAATATAATGAAATGGGCCAAGGGGGTGCAGTCAGCAAGGCTGGGGGTGCAAAAAGCATGGATAAGCCAGGCCCGACCCAGCTGAGCTTCATCTTCAACCTTCGTTCAAACAAAATACGCGCGCCTGATTCAAATGTCCAACTCCTGCATACGTGCTCTAATGCAAAAACTCATAACACAAAAGTTATAGCATTTTTCAAGACGATTCCAACCATGTAAAGAACTTAATCTAACTCTCAAAGACCAGAGAAAATTTCTCTGGCCCTAAATTCTAACCTAACTTTTTCAGGAAGTTCATGAATCAAATTCTCTTAACACGATTAACTTAAATGAAATCTAAGCATATGTACAACTTCAGGGCTATGAGTACTACATTTTTTATTCACAAACCTAAGCCTAATGATTCCTAAATAGAGAGACAGGAAGTTGGAAAATACCTGTTTCAGTTGAACTCGTGTATGGCAATGTGGAGCTTTTCAGTGAGGCCTGAGCTGCTTGGGAGCTTGCTTGAACTTCCTCTTACCTTCCCCAATGCTTAGTTTGCTTTGGATTTGCTTGAACAAGCTTGTAGAACTCAACCTGCACAAGCTGAAATCAGAAATGGTGAAGCTTGCAAATGGAGTTACAGTCACTGTCCAATGGTTGGGATAGCTTGGATAGGTTATATGGAATGTGTTTGAACAAGATTGGGGCAAAACGCACGAGTGGTTTTTGTTATGAAACTCAAAGTGCAAAAACTGCCCTATTTTGAAAGAGGGATGTGCTTTTGTGTTTTGGAAGGCTTGAGAGTAGAATAACTCGTGTTTCTGGCTCAAGGCTAAGTCAAAAACTTGTTTCAAATGCTTGCCAGAGTTGGTTATAACAAATATGCCAGTTCTGTAATTTTGGCAAGTTTCTTGGTTATGAAGCAAAAGGTGGGAAGCGACAAAGAGCAGGCCTGTACAGGCTAGCTCTAATCCTGCATACACTTTGTGAGCTTGGCCCCAAGTTTGTGGATTTGGTTTGCTGTCTCAGATTTGGTTCAAGGCTCAAGAGATGTAATTTGACATAAAGCAAGTTTTGACAAAAATGGCAATGTTGCCTTTTTTCTATTTTTGGATTAATCTCTTGTGTAATCCTCTAATCATCAGAACAAAGCTTCAATCCATTGGATTTGCATTTAATTATTGAGTATGGAATGGTTTAGATACCTATAATCAAGTACAAACAATGCTGGATGGAAATTGCAACTTGTAGCAACATGAAACATGCCATGGATCAAAGTAAGTTTTTGCCAAATTCAAACCTTCAATTCTCCCTAACCACAAATGATTTTGGATAGTTCTTTGACATTTTAGAAAGATTTTAACATGATCTACAATCCATCTTTGAAATTCAATTTGAGATTCCAAGTGGAACTAGGTGAAAATCGCCATGAAGATAGGTCAAAATCCTACCTAAACTAGGGCAAAATTTCACTAAGTTAAAAGTTTCATGGACCCTTGTTCCAAAAATCATAACTTGAGATCCAAGCTTCTTTTGGGAAAACTTTGTGATTCAAAGTTGTAGATGTTGTGGAGGGCCACAACTAATAGAGCAAGTATCTACGAGTCATCTACCTACCCTAAGGAATTAGGCTGTGTAATTGTCCTTAAGGTAGTGCCATCCCACCATTGAGAGATAGGTAGCACCACCGTTGGAGGTGTTCGGGTCAATTCGTTTATGGGGACAGTGTGGTCACCATAGCAACAGTAGGACACCTTAGAAGCTACCCTTATGCCATTGATCCTTTTTTATTCCGAGGCAACCATTTTCGAGGCAACTGGATCATGTTATGGACATAAGGACTTACTAAAACGTCCTATACTCGACGACCACATTTCGAGGGCAAGGCAACCGTGAGACGTACCCTAAGAGTGGTGTGTGAATTTGTGTGTTATTTTCAGTTTAGCATTTATCTTGTACATGTATCATGGTGATCTACGCTTGTTTTTATTTTTAGGCCATACATTCTTTCATGCAAGTTAGCAGTTTTAAAAGTGCGGAAATTTAAATGCGAGAAGTAAAATCCTACGCTATTACAAGGCGCGGGTCTATACATCGCCGAATTAACAAAGACCCGTTTGGTAAAAAATGCGAAAAATAAATAAATTCCTAATTACTATTACATGGCTTGAGCAATTACATAATATTCACAAAGAAAAAATAAGAATAAATGCGCGAAAAGAATAAAAAGTTGAGCGTTCGAGGGCGTTGGACCCTTTTGAAATTAAATTAAATTAAAAGTTAATTAATTATTTAATAACAGAAAAGAAATATTTTTTATGTTTTTGGTATTTAATGAAAAATAAAGAAAAATAATTAAAAGGAAACCCTAAATCTAGATTATTTTAATTATTAATGAAAATATTAAAGTTAACCTAATTTACTAGTTAATTAATTTATTTACATGTTTATTTACAAAATTAATGATAATTAATAATAATGATAAATAATGATGATTAATAATTTATTTAAGAAAAAGATGAAAATGTCAAAAAAACCTAATTCTAGATAC